GAGTGGAATAGATCTGCACAAGAAGAAAGTGAGACTAAGTGTGAGGAGGAAGGGGCTGACAGTCTAAGTTTCTTAAAATATATATATTTTGTTTAGCCAAATTAGTTAACAAACATGGATGTTTGTTTAAGCCAGGCATGTCCAAGGTCCGGCCCGCGGGCCATTTACGGCCCGGGGGTCGGTTTAATACGGCCCTCCAACAGCCCTCCCTGCTCTGTGTAATGTGGCCCTCCCTTCTATGGCAGACAGTCTTCTGCTTGAGAGCAGAGGGCAGTGCGCATGCCTGACTGCGGCACGTTCTCCCTGGTCTGTGTAAATGCGGCTGTCGCACGGCCCTCCCTTCTGTGGCAGACAGTCTTCTGCTTGAGAGCAGTGCGCATGCGTGACTGCGCCACGCTGGGAGCGACAGAGGGCGGTGACGTCAGGCCCGGGCTTCTAGCGTGAAGTGTGTTTCTCTTCCCCTCCCGGCTGCCGAGCAGAGACTTCAGCTCCAGCTACCTTTTTCACCCTTCACATTAGTGCAGATAAGTTTTTTTTAAATTTATTTTCAATACATTGTGAAAACTCAGCTGTCAGTTGATCTTAATGTTATGAAATGAAAAGTATGTCGTTTGCAATTAACTTGGCATAAAATAATTTATTTGCATTTAATTGTAATGGTTCAAAGAATGTTCGGAAAAAATGTTCAGCCCTCCACCATGTTCACTTCATCCAATCTGGCCCTCTTTGAAAAAAGTTTGGACACCCCTGGTTTAAGCAAATAACATATGCTGGAATGTTATTGTTTCAGTTGAATAAATCCATTTAAATTGTTATTATTAAGGTAATAATTATTTTTCTCCTTCCCAAGTACAACAGAAAAGTTGTCCAAATATGAATGATTAACCTATTAATCTGGGGATAAAAAAACTAATATGAAAAGTTGTTATTCTAAAAATCTTCATCTACTTGTATATTAAAGTTATATCAGCAAGAATTAGTCTTTATGTAGAAAACTAGGATTTAAATCAAGCCTTACTGACTAGTGATTTAAATCAGTTTGATTTAAATCAAATCCACCCTGATTTTAGTGCAGGGAACTTCAACACACGCAGGAAATTTATGAAGGTGTTCTGTACACCAACTATGTAGAGAATGCCTCCAGGAGCCATGTTGAATTGACTATAGAAAATTACAGTAGCTGCAGTTTGACAAGGAAAAAAGGTAATTAATGACATTAAAACCACAATACGGCTTGTGCAGCTATTGTATATTATATTACTTTACTTGCTATATACTTTTGCCATGAAAGTGGAGTTACCCTTTAATTCCCCCCTCCAATTTTGGACATATAGAACCATCATCCATGCACAACACGCAGTACATCTCTGCAATACATGCACATTCCACAAGGTTCTCTTTAACCAGTTGCCGCCCGGCCTATAGCCATAGGGCAAACAGCTCCTCCCTCCAGGTGGATGCCATATGGCGTCCTTTCAGGCATGCGCATTGCACACACCCACGCTGTGGCACGGTCACCGACTGTGTACCTCGGACAAGTAAAAAAATTAATGTTTTTTTTTTTTTTTTTTTTTTTTTAAAGTACTGTCACCAGTGTCCCTGATCACTGCCATGTCATTACATGATGCTGTACTGCACTGGTGACAGTGTGAAGAAATCTAAAAATTTTTTTTTTTTTTACATTTTCAAAAAATTACAACTTCAAAAAAACTTGCCATGCCTGTTATGAAATAAGTCGGACTGTCTACTAAGCAAAAAGGGTAATTTGGGGGATATCTGTACTGTTCTGACATTCTTGGACCTCAAGAAATGAGATTGGCTGTCAGTAATTTAAAATTGGTAAATTTTCAGATATATCCCATAGTTTGTAAACGCTTACTTTCCTACAGACTAAAGAATACATCCTAATGTGGGTTATTTTCACCAAAGAAATGTAGCAAATACATCTTGGCCTAAATTTATGAAGAACAACTATTTGCAAACTTTTATAACAGAAACAAAGAAAACCATGTTTTTTTTTCCAAACATTTTTCGTTTTTTTTTTGTTAATTTAGCAAAAAATAAAAACCCCAGTGGTGATTAAATATCACCAAAAGAAAGCTCAAGTTGTGTGAAAATTATAAAATTTTAGTTTGGGTACAATGTTGTATGACCGTGCAATTGTCATTCAAAGTGTGAGAGCACTGAAACCTGAAAAATGGCCTGGGCAGGAAGGGGGTAAAAGTGCCCGGTATGGAAGTGGTTAAACATGCAATTCCTGTTGATCCTGGTAAAAAATCAAATGAGCACCTAACTTCCTGAAGTGAGATGATAGTTCTGCCTTTACTGCAGTGAAATCGCAAGCAATGTTATACAAGCCCTGCTCAAGTTCTCGCCTGCAGGACTTTAGACCACCCCCCTCCCTTGTATACTGTAGAGAATGAAGGTGCTCCATAGTCCAGAGAACAACTCAGGCAGGGCTTTTTCTCTGCTTTTGCAAGTCAGGCCTGAAGATTAACCCCCCCCCCCCCTCCCGCAGCCACCAGACAGTATATGCTTTTCGAAGGCACAGACCCTGAATAATAAAATTGTGGCAGGCACAATTTATGTCACATGATATTAAGAGCATGTTTCATCCACCACAAATGTGTAATTTACACAGGATGAGGTTATGAAAATAAGATAGCCAATACTCAAGCCTTGAAATTGCATATGACTGAACCCGCAACCACTGTGCTCAAAATTGTTCATAGGCATCACTTTTAAAAGCCTTTACAGGTTTAGCAATTTTGAAGTTAACTATGAACAATGGCCCTAGAATTACAGCTCTAGCTCAGACGCTAGCAGGGATATGAAACATGTAGCACAATGGTTATTTCTGTACATGGGCATACTTGCCACATGCATTTGTGTTCTTACATGAGCGTACAATAGACTGTAACGTGTGTGTGTTAGGGGAAAAAAAGATAAAATAAAAAAACACAAACACACACACCTGTGTCATCAATAGCCCCATATGTGATGCATTAGGCAGCAACAGGTTCTCTTTACTGAGACATTGTGGGCCCTATTAATTCCCCGATATCTCCCACTGAAGCTAAAGGAGCACAAATTTTGCACCATTAGCATCTTCACCAGCCACAGGGTTTGGAAAAAAGGAAGTCAGAACACGGAAGAAACAGCGTGCTCATCACTTCTGTGTTCAGTTGCGGGGGGGGGGGGGGGGATATCAGTGTAAGGATACCCGCCACAACGATCCAGGATCCACTGGGGGGACAGAGGAGTCCAAGTGACATGGTAGGGATAGTACGTTCAGTGGGCTGTGGAAGTGGACAGATTTACAGCTGCCCAAAATCAAACCCACTCAAAAGCCCAACTCTGAACTCAGAGGTCTAGCAAGTGACTAACTTTATGCTATCTTCTGCTCCAACAAAGACAAGTTAAAAAAAAAAAAAAAAAAAAAAAATTCTTGAGCTGCAAGTACACAAACATATCAGGAATAACAGACAGACTATTAGAGGCCCCCTTTGCGACAGGTGCTGCAAACCTTTCCGGCAAGCAAAACTGTATATTGCAAAGTGGGTAAGGATTAGAACCACTATGAACAAGTTACTGCTAGCCAGGGCTTTGTCAAAGATTTTCCACTGCTTCCTGCTTACATTTTACCAGGGTGCCCACTCATGTTCTAATAGCAGCACAAATAAAGAAGGGCCCTGTTGCAGATTCAACCCCCCCCCCCGCTGCCTTCCAGTCTGGTTATTTGCAGCACAGAAAGTGCAGGTCTCTTATAGGAGCCAAGGATAGCTGTATAAGCACGACAGAGGTTCTAATTCTTCTCCACTCTGTCAACCTTCACTCACACTAAAGGTTTCAGATTTCCATTCATAGTCACTATGAAAATACTGAAATCTCTAGTGATGTGGCAACAGAATCTAATCACTTCAAAAACACCAGTATTTTTCTATCCACAAGTAGCATTGACAACCCCCAAAACAAGAGATGGAAGGGAAGATTGTAGCATTGGTTTCTAATTACAGTGTCCAACCTAATGAGCCCTTTAAAATAAACTGTTAAAAGAAAAAAAAAAAAAAAATCTCATTAGACAGTACAGTACCTGAAAGAAAAACATCAATTTTTTATGCATTTTATTTTTATAACTTGCCGAGACTGGAATGAGATAAATAGAAGGCACAACGATTTTGCTTTCTTTTTTGAAGTTTTTGTTTTTTACAAATACGAACTAAAAACCATGAGGAAAAAAAAATTCCCTATCAAAAAAATATTTTCACAAATTCAATGAGTTTTAAAGTCAAGTAGCTAGACATTTAAAACCTATCCCAAAATCCAAAATTTGAGTGGTAAAACAGTAGTTTTCATAATTTTCCATAATTCCTTGTTGGTGTTGTATAAAAAAAGTGAGTACAGAAATTCCAATGAACACCTTTTATTATTATTTTTGCAGTAAATCAGATGGAGATTGTAAGCAGCTGTTCTAAGCCACCCGGGTCTTCATCACTACTCACAGCTTCAATGGATATATACTACAGAGACCAGAATACTGTGCCAAGGACTAGCCTTTTCCCTCAAGTAGGGCTTTGAGTAGAGTGCCAAAACAAGTTTGATAAGTCAGAAACAGAGCCTATACCAGCATTCCCAATCAAACTTCTGGATTTGCTTAAATTCAGGAAATGTTCCATTGTGTTTTACTCCTGAAAACAGGTTTTGTTTTGCTTGATTTAAATCCTTCCCCCCCACCTAAAAGACATTGTCCAACAAATGCTGGATTCTGGGAAGAGGATCAAGAAGAAAAAAAAAATCCATAAAATCGCAACACAAACAAAAGGGTTGGGATGGGACAGGTGAAGTGTAGCAGTCCATCACATTGGGACAATATGCCAAGACATCCAAGACCCCAAGTTTCAGAAGGCTGCAGGACAGAAGAGGGCAATTTGCCTTTTGATGTTAGATGCCACTCAAAAAACACACGAGAAAAAAAAAAAACAAAAAACAAAAACCAAAAATCACTGGCGTGGACCTTGAATGCCTCTTCCAGCCCCAAAACCAGGCTTTTGTGACATTGCACCACGTGGCGGACCTCTCAGACCCCCTCCCAGACCTCCACGTGGTCCTCCAGGGCCACGGGGCCTGTCACCTCGACGGTCACCCTCTCGAGCAGCACGTGTTTTCTTCTCTTCTACGTTTAAACGCACATCTGCACGGAACATGATGGGCTAAAGAAAAGAATAAAAAAAAAAAAAAAAAAAAAAAAAAAAAATGAAATTAATCCATAATTTAGAAGACACTAGTATAACTAAATGCACTTTGCTGTGAAGACTATATTTTGCACCAAGTGCATAGGGTAGCAAATTTTGAGGGTAGAAAAAAAAAACAAAAACCCTACAGCCATGTCTTACCCGACTGCTCAGGATTTTCTGAACAGGCTCTGCATCATCGAATACAACAAAACCAAAGTTCGGAAGCTTTCCACCACTGTTTATACGAAGTTCAACAACGGTGCCATAAGCTGGAAACAAAAGAAAACAAAAATGCAATCAGCTCCGAGAAGAAGAGTTTGAAACCAAAATATTACAACTTTTTATGTGGATCTACAAAGGGGTAACAAGTTATAACCAACTATTGCATTCTGCCCAAAGAATAGATTAGATGAGTGCGCAAATTCCATGGAGCCATCAGCGCATGAGCTGCTTCAGTCAAGGAACTCTATGCCTGGAAACAAAGCTGTTTAATTTGTAATTCAACCTGCAACAGGTCCCAAAAAATCTTGAGGAGTCTATTCTTGTGGATCCAGGTGCTGCTGCCGCCTGATGAATTCTGTCAATTGCTCATGCCTGGGGCATAAATGGCAGAATAGCTGGAACGTACAGTTCTGCTCAGGAAATGATTCTACCCATCACAGTAGCAAGACCTCTGGAAATGCAAGCAACTGCTGTGACGTAGTCCAACTTAACCTGATCAAATAACCCCTCCAGTCTGGGTGTCCAGTGTTGCATGGACAGCCAAATCTCCCAATGTTCCAGGTTCGTCAGGAGACTACAATCATCTGACATCAAATCCCCTGCACCCACAAAGATATCCAGACACCTCTCCAGTCTGGCTGGCATCCATTGCAAAGATCTTCTCCAGGGCTGAGGAAGTCTTTCTTCTGCTCTCTTTTGAAGGATAGCTGAGCCACCACACAAGAGACAACTTGGGCTATCGGTGCCAAGCTAATCAATCTGTCCAAAAACTGTACAGAATTATCCCACAATGACCGAATGATTTATGGGATCTAAAATGGAACTGAGTAAAAAGAGGACTGCGTCAAAATGAGGCTACAATCAGTCCTAGAACTCTCATCAAGAAGTGAAGAGTTGGAGGACTCCTAGATTGAGAGCAATTCTGGAAGGAGCTTTAATGTTTTCCCCCCCTTGAGACTGGATGCTGTAGTAAATTTGTGTTTAAGGCCATATGCCTAGGACACAGGTATTGAATACATAAGGCCCTAAATGAGTATTATTTGGCACAGCATCCAGCTGCAGTGTATTTCACTCCTAAACCCCTCAGATGCCAAACACACAAGGAATTGATGCACTGGGGATGGATGCACAGGTTGAATTGAGGTGTTAATAGTGCTGGAGAAACTCCTGGGGTTGAATCCCCAAAGTTCAGACCAGAATGCCTTCAACATCTGGTTATAGACCTTCCTTTCCCTCAAAACCTGGGCTTTAATAGCCATTAAAGACAGTAACTAAGAATCAGGAAGGCAAATCCTTGTGACAGAAGAACCTGATCTTGTAGAGCCCACGAGCCTCTGCTAGAAGCCTTACCAGGAAGGCCTAATACAGCTTCCCAGGTCAGTCCAGAGCTGAGCAGCATAAGAATGCCCACCAGCTGGATCCTGTATAGCAGACAAGTTTTTGGGGATGAATGGCACAGATCAAGGTGTACTGATCCCATGGAGCCACCACTTCCGCTAGAGGATCCCTGAACCTGCTCAGTTTGTTGTTAAACCTGGAGGTCCACATATGGCATGACCTATCTATAAACAAAAGTACTAAAAAACCTGTGTTTAGGGGCCATTTCCCCAGGACCAGGCACTGCCAGCTAAAAAGTCCATGTCCCAGCAGTAGATAGTTGGCAGGCAAAAAGCTGACAAGGCTGATGTGAAGTTTTGTCCAAGGCAGGATCCAATCTACCATTCTTGGAATGGCAAGACTTATTGGCTCTTCCTTGATTGCTGGAGGCCACTGCTGAGGTGTTGTCCACCTGGATCCAGACTGGTTGACTCGTAAGTAGACCTGTGCAATGCTGTAGAGAAAGCATTTTTTCCAAGATGCCAATTGGAAGATGAGACACCACCAAATGCTGTTCCCTTAACAGGTCGCACGGGTACCCCACAATGGGGATATGCCATAAGAATGCAGCAGGGCTAGAACAGCTGAATAAAAAAAAAAAAAAAAAAAGAAGGCAGAAAAAACGGTTTCTGCCTTAAATTAAAATTTTTGTTGGGAAAGGCAAACACTTAATTCTAGTATAGGAAACTTATTCTTGGGGAGGGTAGAGTGAAGCATCACATTTATGTATTAATATTGAAAATGGACCATTTGTTCTGAAACATTAATTCAAAAAATTTAAAAAGAAAATGTCTACCAATAACTGGGTTTAACCAGCAAACAAGTCAAAGAATTGTGTTTCAAAACACCTTTCCTACTGACTGAAAAAAAAAAAAAAAAAAACTTACTCTGAAAGAACTCCTTAAGCTCACTCCTGTCCACATCGTGTGGCAGATTTCCCACAAACAGTTGATGGCTGTCTGGGTATCTGTTAATGCGCCGTGTCTCCAGCTCTCCTTGTTCACCTTCCCGTACTAAATTAAAAACAACAAAACAAAAAAACACATGCATCACATGTAGAATACCTAAATGCGTTATGGAGGTGGGGGAGACACATGCAGTACATCTCTGAAATGCATGCAGAGTATTGAGGGATAAAATACTGGGGGGGGGGGGGGGGGGGGGGGGAGGGGGGGGCAATAGTGTCTTATTCAGTAATGCCTTTACCTGGTCTGGGCCCTCCCCGGGAGGGTACTGTCATAGTCCTCTGTTCTCTGACTCTTTGATCTCTCTGTGGTGGTCTCTGTGTTTGATTTTCTGGTTTGGCTTCAGGCCGGGGCTAAAAAAGGAAAACAAAAAAACAAGAAAAAAAAAAAAAATTAAATTCCTGTACAATGCAATGGTCTATAGGATCTCTGCTCTTACAGTGATTTAGCTGCTGAATGGACACTCATAACCCAAAAGTAAAGCAAACTGTCCATCTGCCATAAGTGACAATGTCTTGCACAGTTGGGTGTAGATCAAAACTTTAACCACTATACTTCCGCGTTATAGCTGGATAACGGCTACAGCAAGTATTCCAGTTTTGGAAGGGCATCATATAACCTCCTCCCAGATCATGCCCAAAGTGACGCACACCCAAAACGCTGTCTCCTTTGGACACAGCTGAACACATGACATGGTAAAAAGTGGCCTTTTGCCACGTGATTAGCTGTGTCCAATCACAGCTGACCACAATATCATTGCAAACGCAAGTTGAAAAAGTGATACATTTACAGGTGAAACTCGATAAGTTACAGATTATCATTAAATTAGAATATCAAAAAGTTAATTTATTTCAGTAATTAAATTAAAAAAGTGAAACTCGTTCTATAGATTCATTGATCTATTTCAAGCATTTCCTTTTAATTTTGAGGATTATTGCTTACAGCAAGTTAAAGCCCAAAATTCAGTACCTCAGAAAATTAGATTACATAAAACCAAATTAAAAAAAAATATATATATTTTTAATACAGAAATGTTAGCTTACTGGAAAAGTATGTCCATGTACAGCATAATATGCACTATACTCGGTTGGGGCTTTTTGCATGAATTACTGCATCATTGCAATGTGGCATGGAACCGATCAGCCTGTGGCACTGCGGAGGTGTTATGGAAGCCCAGGTTGTTTTGATAGCGGCCTTTAGCTAGTCTGCATTGTTGGGTCTGGTGTTTCTTCCTCCTCTTGACAATACCCCACAGATTCTCTATGGGGTTTAGGTCAGGCGAGTTTGCTGGCCAATCAAGCACAGCGATACCATGATCATCAAACCAGGTATTGGTACTTTTGGCAGTGTGGGCAGCTGCCTAGTCCTGCTGGAAAATTACATCAGCATCTCCATAAAGCTGATCAACAGAGGGAAGCACGAAGAATTTCCTGGTAGAGGGCTGCACTTGCTTTGGACTTGATAAAGCACAGTGGACCAACACCAGTAGATAACATGGCTCCCCAAATCATCACTGACTGGACACTTCCCACTGGACCTCATACAACTTGGATTCTGTGCCTTTCCACTCTTCCTCCAGACTCTGGGAACTTGATTTCCAACTGAAATGCAAAATTTACTTTTATCCGAAAAGAGGACTTTGGACCACTGAGCACAACAGTCCAGTCTTTCTCCTTAGCCCAGGTAAGATGCTTCTGATGTTGTCTCTGGTTCAGGAGTGGCTTGACACAAGGAATGCGACAGTTGTAGCCCATGTCTGACACATCTGTGTGTGGTGGCTCTTGAAGCACTGACACCAGCCGTAGTCCATTTCTTGTAATCTCCCCCAAAATTCATGAATGGCCTTTGCTTCACAATGCTCTCAAGGATGTGGTTATCCCTGTTGCTTGTGCACTTTTCTTTAACCACACCTTTTCCTTCCAAACTTTCCATTAATATGCTTGGATACAGCACTCTGAACAGTCAGCTTCTTTAGCAATGACCTTTTGTGACTTACCCTCCATAAAAAGGGAGGAGGTCAATCATTGTCTTCTGGACAGCTGTCAAGTTAGCAGTCTTCCCCCATGATTGCGTAACCTACTGAACCAGACTGAGAAACCATTTAAATGCTCAGGAAACCTTTAAAGGCATTTTGAGTTCGCTTATTAGAGTGTGACACCATGGGGTTTATTTACTAAAGCTGGAGAGTCCAAAATCAGACTCCCTTCTGCATAGAAACCAATCAGCTTCCAGGTTTCATTGCCAAAGCTTCATTAAACAAGCTGAGGTTAGAAGCTGATTGGTTTCTATGCAGAAGGGAGTCTGATTTTGGACTCTCCAGCTTTAGTAAATAAACCCCCATGAGTCTACAATATTGAACTTTCACAATATTCTAATTTTCTGAGATACTGAATTTTGGGTTTTTACTAGCTGTAAACCATAATCCTCAAAATTAAAAGAAATGCTTGACATATATCACTCTGTGTGTAAATGAATCTATATAAATATAGGAGTTTCACTTTTCGAATTGAAGTACTGAAATAAATTAACTTTTTGATGATATTTCTAATTTATTGAGATACACCTGTATAGTCACATGCTACTAGGAGGTTTGCTCTGAAAACACCACATGACATAGAAGTACTACACTCTCACTCAACCTTAACCACTTGCCCTCCAGAGGATTTACCCCCTTCCTGACCATGCCATTTTTTTTTTGCTGTTCGGCACTGCACTATTTCTGTTAATAACTGTTAATTGCGCGGTCATGCAGTGCCGCACCCAAATGAAATGTATGTCCTTTTTTTTTCACAAGAGCTTTTTGGTCGTAAAAACCCCTGATATTTTTCACTTTTGGTTATAAAAAATATCCAATAAACTCAAAGTTAGTCATAAATTTAGGCTAAAATTTATTCTGCTACATGTCTTTGGTAAAAAGAAAATCTCAATGCATGTATATTAATTGGTTTGTGTGAAAATTATAGCGTCTACAAACTATATATATATTGGAATCAACACAGCTTTTAATTTCTGACTGCGTGTTACATTTCTTGAGGTGCTAAAATGCCAGGGCAGTACAAACATCCACCCCAAATGGCCCCTTTTTGAAAAGTAGACACCCCAAGGATTTTGCAGAGAGGCATGTTGAGTCCATAGAACATTTAATTTGCCACATTTTTTGAATGACTTTTCTCTAAACAAAAGTTGTTACTTTAATGATATATTGCTTATGCATGCCATGGGTATATGTGGAATAACACCCCAAAACACATTCTCCTACTTATCCGGAGTATGGGGATACAGCATGCGAGACTTTTGCAGCCTAGCTACATACAAGCCCCCAAAATCCAATGTCCACCTCCAGGCTTTCAAAAGGGCTCATTTCCTCATATCACATCCCCACTACCTATCACAGTTTCGGAGGCTCTAAAATGCCAGGATAGTACAACCCCCCCATGAACTATCATGAGTTAGTTTTTGACAGCTCAAGACAGTGATCTGTGATTGGCTGGAGCTGGTCACATGGTACAGGGTGCCGTGATTGACCCCATGTATCATGTGACAGCTGTGGGCCAATCACAACTCACTAGGAAGAGGAACACAGCCGATATGAATGAGATTGCTTACATTGTGATCACATAGCGATCACATGATCACTGGGTCCCATTGACCGGGATCTTCATTCCGTTGTGTCCACTGGACACAGCAGTCGCAAGGGGGGGAGCGCTGTGCGCCCCCCCTATGTTTGTACAGCCAGTGCGACATATGGGTACCTCACTTTGCTATAGCTGCCGCCCTGCATTGCGGGCAGGTGGTCAGGAAGCAGTTAAAGGCCAGAAGCAGGGACAATTGGAGGGTACTGCTGTGGAAGAATCTGCCATTATTCTGAAATGCAACAAAAGCAGGCACCGACTTCCATCTCTACCCCAACAGCTAACAAATACAGATTTTTTTTATTTTTGGGTTAAGACTGCAACTTTCCAGTAAAATTAGGCAACCAATGAGTCTTACTTCAAAACTAAAATGTCACATGTCTAAGTTTACCTGTGACGGTTGAACTTTGACAACGTGGGGAGGGATTCCAGACACTGGGACAGCGCCACTAGGTGGGAGATTTTTGCTTGTCACAGAGGCCCAGGAAAAGGTCTAAAGTGGTTGAGAGATCCAAGAGTTAAATGACAGTCTTAGGTCCCTATAAAGGCAAGCTAAATCAATAGGAATATCCTTTACCCTGGAGTCTTCCTGTACTGCTGGCGCAGGGTCTGCAGGAAGTGGAGAGGAGCTCTTTTCCAACACCTCTTCCTCTTCTGGAGCTGGTTCCTCAGAGACAGGTTCACACTTTTCTTCCACCACCTCTGGCTCTGGATCCTGCTCAGGTTCAGGCTCAGGCTCAGGTTCTGGTTCTACTATCTGCTCTTCCAGTGGTTCATCCAAGTCATTGTTACTGAAAATAAGATTGGTTGGTATGAAATTCAGTTAAAATTACACAAGTTCATCCATGTAGGACATCGGTTTACAAAACCAAACCTGAAAAACACAAAAAACTAGAGCAAAAATACAATGCATATGGTTCAGTTCACAAACACCAGAATTAGGATTTTTGCTTAAGACACTTTTCAAAACTGACGTTTTACAGCCTAGTCACATTGGGTGCAACTTGCATGCCTTGCAAAACGTATGCCAAGTCGCACCCTATTGTCCACTATTAGAGCGGTCATATTGGTGCGGTTCCAACTTGGTTGGAGCCGCACCGATTTCTAGTGCATATACTACTTTGGTTGCAATTTGCATAGACATCTGTTGTCGGATGTCTTGCAAATCGCAACTGAAATTGGCAGGTCACCGGATTTTTAAAGCATGCGACTTCACTGTAAGGTCGCACAATTTCAATATCGGCTTTTATGTGACCAAGGGCTTAGATTTAAAAAGGACACTCACATGGCTGAAAATAAAGATCCTTATCCTAAAGTAAACTTTGTGAATTGAGCATTGTTATATGTAAATACCTTAAGAGCATTTCTTACAGGGCACACTGTGCATGCATTACAAATTCCATCAAAATAAAGTGGAGAGAGCAGTTACCTGCCAGACTGGTCATAGTATGCACCATCCTCTGTGGCAACTACTTCTGGGGTCTGCTGCCTTTCCTCAGGCTCATCTACTTCCTCATCCGATTCTAGAACAGAAAAAAAAAAGGAAGAAGGATAAGAAGGGGCACGTTAAAGTGTTACTAAACCCAGGACCCTGCATTCACTATAGCTGGTCACCCACGGTACACAACATAGGAATGCAATTATTTTAGTAATTATAAACTGCTGAATACCTTTTCTCATCAACAGTTAGAGCAGGCTTGTGACTTCTATCAGTGCTCAGCTGAGCACTGGTTAAAGCTTTCTAGGATGAGTTTTCATTCTGCTCTAGGAGGGTGCAGGACTCCTGACCTCTGTCTGGACAGTGCTGATTGGACCTGTGCTGGTCACATGCACTCTCCCAAGAAATAAAAACAAATCTCTCCAGCCACAAACACCAAATTGAGCATGTGCAGAGTGACTCTAAACCTATGTTCTATCAGGAGATATTTTAGGGGACACTGGAAGAAGGGGAGGATCAGAGAAGACAGGATCAAACATCCTTTTTACACAATCTGGAGAATTAACCCCTTAGGTTCCACAGTGAGTATAACAAGCATGCTTTACTGCATATACAGACCGATTTTACTGTTGTGGGTTTAGGAACACTTTAAAATACATACTCAACTATAAATGTCATAGTATTATTGACAAGTAATGTCATAGGGGGAATTTATAAACGACATACCTTCTGGAGGTTCTGTATCGGAGTCACCAAAAACTTCATCTTGGTAACGGAATATGTCATTGTGGACATAAAATTTGTTTGCCACAGAACCCTAAAAAGGGTGGAAAAAAAAAAAAAAAATAAAAACACATTTAAAAAGGTCATAATCCTCCAAATATGAAACAATTTGAACTACTGAGATTTTCCAGGAAACCAAAAAGTAAAAAGGGCTCAAGTTTACTAGAACCCGCATTTTTCACAGGCCTTTTGATTAGCTGCTGCATTTACTCTGCAACCGCTTATTTTAAAAAATTATGTGGTCACAGCTTCAGTGGGTTCAAATGAAGGGCAATGGTAAAATAAGAATACGCTAGCCAACATTTTCACAGGCATTCAAAGGGGGATGCTGGCAGCTACAAAGGATTATCCCGTGAGGCACACAAAACGAATACCAAGTCACAGACACTCTGACTTAAAAGCTACATAAAGCCAATTATGCAACAAGAAATAAATAGTCATACTGGAAATTAGTTAAGCGACCAAGCAAGCAACCCTCCTTCTGACTAAAGAGAATGCCATACGTATTAAAATGCAATAGATCTAAAATGGTGCTGAAGGAGGTGTATGCTACCCCAGCGCACAAAGTAAAAGTCCATGGCTTTCATAGCAGAAGTGGAAGCAGCCCATTAGAATAAAGCAATCTGTCATTCTGGAAAAGGAACACAAGGGGGCATCAACTAAGTTCAGTCTTACCAAAAAAAAAAAAAAAGAAGAAGAAGTATATTAAAAAGCTAATGGGCTTTACATGCAAGTTGCCCATTGGCTTTATAAGTTCTGCGCTTTGTTGGCGCTCCCTTGTATTCCTTTCCATCTGTAGTCAAGTACAGAGGATGATCAGACTGAAATACCACCTTGGGAAACCAGGGAGGGAGCGAGGAGAACCATTTTATATGTTCAACATACCACACATATGAAATCAATAAATCAGTGCTGTAAGGCAGGGTATTTACCTCTGGTGCCAAAACAAAGGTCTGCATAAAGCGCCGCATAGGTTGTCGGTTGTTGGACAGCTCTCCCATGACTTGTACCACGACCCCATCATTAAGAGTGGCATGAGCATCAACATGTCGGATCTTCGTCCGACAGTCCTTGAAATTCAAGGACATTACTTTTTTATGGATGTCCTGTAGAACATGCAAACAACAATTACTCGTACACAAAGAGGAAGATGACAACCCAACCTCCCCACCACCAACAAAACCATATCAATTTATATAGTACTTACAGCTTGCCCATAGACAGCATCTGCTGGTTTCCCATTGCTGTCCAAGCCACCGTGAACATAGGAAGAACTTTTGCCATAGAACCTAACAAAACAATAGTAAAACTGTTTTATGCATATTTCAACTTGAGTATGAAAAAAAAAAAAAAAAAAAAAAAAAAAAAAAAAAAAACCCCTGCCAGAATGAAGCAGCAAGAGAAATGGTCTCAGTTTAATTTCTAGCCCTTGACACAGAGTACGCAAATCTGCAAACCCACTGGACTTTTTTCCTTGGGGCCCCATATTTGCGTATCAGTCTTTGTGCTCAGAGGGTGCCGCACTAATAGGGACCTGGAATTCCCATTCCAGGTCACCTAAACTCCGTGATAGTCTCTAATTGGCTATCAGAGTGAACAGTCAGAGAGAACATACTCACATATACTCTTTAAAAAAAAAAAAAAAAAATATATATATATATATATATATATATATATATATATATATATATATATATATATATATATATATATTTATTAATAATAATACCTAGAAAAAGGTTTCATCTAGGTCAGTCAGGGTCAGTATTTTTGGGCTTTTTTTTTTTTTTTTTTAAATTAGTACAGGTGTGTTTTATGTAGCTAAAAACCAAAAATGATTACCATTGTTTCTGGGCTGTACTACGGGTACAAACAACCAACATACACATGTGATAGCGCTGCGATCATCAGGAGCAGAATTCCACCTCGATCCACAAAGTAGTTGTGATGATATTTACCAACAAGTCAAAGTTACAAAATTGTGCTTCTGCATTAACATTTCACCCTTAGTTGCGAAGGGGTTAAACTAGAACCCCAGCCAAAAACACATGATGAAGACTCAGAACTTGTGTCAAGCATTTATATTGCCACTGCATCATTAGGGAGATGCATACAGTGCTTGTCTAGTTAAAGACAAACAAAAAGGGGAAAGCTACAGATTTACAGGTTTTCAGTGGAACAGAAGTGGAGAGAAGTTGCTCTATTGGGGACATTTGCTTTAGTGATTGCCATCAAGGTGTAACATGCCCACACACCTGTGTAAAGAAGCCTAAATAACATAGCACATACCTATGCAAAAAGTCTGGTGCCTGGTTAAGAAGGGTATAATATTGCCTCACAAACTCCCGCCCGACAAGCAGGGGACTTGGCTTCTCCATCACCATTTCTTTGGTCAACTGAAATCTGAAAGAAAATAAAGCATATAAAAGATCAAAACACTGGCAAATATCCATTTACAGATAGTTTTACACTGATGGTCTAGTAGCTTTGAGTTCCTGTACTAAAATAATTATTTACAATGAGTAGTAAACCTATACATTATGGAAAACCCCTCCCGACCACACAACTTGGTCAGTGGTGCACTCTTTACAGCTATGGATACACACAGCCCAGCTCAGGTGCACCCCTGCATGTGTTTTACCACCATAGTAAGCAGCTACCTATGGGGGCAAATGCATTAGAAGCCAAGCGGATACCACTGCACTGAGCAGGTACAACATTTGTTATTTTAGACACACACACACAGGGTTGAAGAAACTGCCAGTTGTGGTAAACTAACCATGATTTAAAAAAAACAGGAGGAGAACATGTTATGACAGACGTATTAAAATAAAGAAAGGTGCCACTGCTGACCACGTTCAAACATAAAAATCACTTGCTAAGTGAATAGACTTCATCCTGCATTTTTTTTCCCCCTTTTAAAATCATCCGCTCAAGTTTTTAAGGAGCAAAGTGTAAACCAAAACTAGATGCAGTCTCTGTCAAGCAATCCAGCTGGCTAATATTTGATTATCCCTCTATCAGTTAAGCCGCCAATAAATCCCCACGGTTCACCAACCAACCATGACCACAATAAGCTTGTGTAAGAATTTTAATAGTGATTTACTGATCTCAAGCTGCTTTCACCTTGGGCTATGTGTAGGAATATCTGCTGCACTTGAAGCAAGCCATGCCCCTAAATCCATAAATCATACAGCCAAAGTATTCCTTGCAGGACTGAATGTCTGTGTTTTGGAAGGGAAGACACAAGCTACAATCTGTTATAAGACTGCACCTGCTGCTACTGTAACACTTGCCATCTGTTTTTACTCTAGAGTTGGCACATCTTAACCCGAGGTAGGCAAAGTTCACAGAAAAATAAGCAGTGTGTTTTGACGCTGTGACATTTTATGAATATTCACTCTACAAGACAATTAGAAAGACTTCTCGTAGATACAGCCAGTTGCCAGACAACACTTCCTTTTGAAAACCATGTAAAAGTGGATGGATTGTACTCAACCACCCCCATTTATTCCAAGTGATTTTTTTTTTTTAAAGAATGTATGAGCATGGCAGATATCTCCCTTCATTTACATCTAGGTCAAAGCTCCTGGAAACTTAAAATCAAGCCTTGCTGTATTGTGATGCAAAAGTAATGAATGGCAACTTATGAGGCTTATCTGCTGCAAATGGTACGTTATTGTCCATAAGTGCACTTATCCTTTAGTGACCATATAGTGACAGACAACACACTGGTCAATAAGGTAAGCCATGACACTGACAGGCAAGTAGAGAACATTAGTCTGTATCAACAGCACAGTAGTGAAGTCACATCTAGTCCAGGAAAAGAAAAAAAAAAAAAAATGCATTGCTTGATCGTGATCTGGAGTTAAATCTTTTAAAACAAGTAGGGAAAGCCTTAAATGGTTGATTTTCTAACACAATCTTAAATCAAACCACAGGAGAGCAAAAACACACGCTAGATGAAACATGCTACAACTGAAAGTCTATCTACAGGAGGACATGCTATTTATGGCAACTGGAAATAACTTGCTCTCAAATTTCTAAGAGCTGCTACGTTATTCATGGCAAGCCAGGAGAAACTTTGTGCAAAAGTTGGTCGCTATGAATGTCAAGTTATAAAAGACTAGAAGTAGGAGGTTTTTTTTTGTTCTTTTTTTTAAAAACCATTGAAGCGCACTGGCCAATTATTAGTATAAGCACTGGGGGAAGGTCACTAGAAGTTCATTGTGCCTGCACACTTGGCCCCCCTTACACAGGGGGCGGAATCCATTTCCCTCAGTAGGAGATCTGCTGATCCCCTGCTGAGCAGAGCCAGCAGACATCAGGTATGTTTCTGCAAAGCGGACACAGACACCACCTTCTCTGCTCTATGGGCATTCAATTGTAAGCAGACTGGTTGTGCCCTCCGATCCAATCTGTCTAAATGGGTGGCAACAGATCCTCTTCCATATATATATATATATATATATATATAATCAGCTTCACCTGAAAAAAAAAACTGTCAGGCAGACCCAACTGGACCAATTGTATTAAAGCGACCTAAATAGCACTTTAGAATTTTGGTTGCACATCCCTTTAGTACTATAGAATACTACCTCACGATTCACAAGATTAAAGCCCGGCAGATTTAAAGCCACACATTATAGCTCCATATTCATTAGATTTATGCAGGCCATAGATGGGGAGAAAAACGGCCAATTTTTCGTCCGAAAATAAAACCGGCCGATTATCTTATCGTTAGTGGACGATTTTGTCGGCCGTTTTTCGTGTATTTTGGACTTTCAGATTATCGGTGATGTTGGAAAATTTTCGAAAAAAGCCCAACTTTATCCTCATTGATGGTCAAAAACGAACGATCGTTTTCCGAAAAAGGATCACAAAGGCCACAAAATGACATCATTTCCCGTTATAGGTTACTCATTAATCGGCCGATTTTCGTAATAATTGGTGGTCAGGTAAGTTTTTTAGACCGACCGATAGTTCGTTAATCGGGGCCGAAAATCTGCCGTTTTTCTCCCCATCTATGGCCTGCATTAGTGTCTTTTACACCCTGTTCCAAATTATTATGCAAATTCTATTTAATGCAGGCCATAGATCGCCCAATCTTTTTACGAATAAAAAAAAAAAAAAAAAAAAAAAAAAAGTGATGGAGGGAGGAGGATGATTCCAGTCCGCTATTATATTTGACATTAAAAAGTACTGCGGTTGCAACAATGTATTTATTTGTAACCAAAACCCCCCCCCCCCCAAAAAAAAAAACCCATCTGTATCTGAAATGGATACAAATAGATACAATGTTCATGTTTTGCATTGTATTGGTATTGTTCTGTCACATGTTCTGTCCCCCTTTGTAATGTACAGCGCTGAGCGAACTATTGGCGCTTTATAAATACTGTATAATAATAATAATGTTGCAACCACAATACTTTTTAATGTCAAATATAGCGGGGCTCTCTGCAGGGACAGAAGTAATTAAATGCCGGCCGTAGAGGAGAAGAAAATCGGCCGATTTCTTTTTTTTTTTTACTGTTGGTGGTAACATCGGCCTATTGAACAACCGATTTTTTGGGGTTTTTTTTGTTAAAAAAAAACGGCTGTTTTTCTCCCCCATCTATGGCTTGCATAAGTGTCACAAAGATTAAATATTTTGTTTTTCAGTTTAACTCATGGATGGCATTGTGTGTCAGGGCTCTTTTGATCACTGAAAACAATCTCGGACACCTGTGATAATTAGATTGGCAGGTGAGCCCAATTTAAGGAAAAACTACTAAAGGAGGGTGTTCCACATAATTAAGCAGAACACCATTTTCAAGCAATATGGGAAAGAAAAAGGATCTCTCTGCTGTCGAAAAAGAGTGAAATAGTTCAATGCCTTGGACGAGGTATGAAAACGTTAGATATTTCACGAAAACTTAAGCGTCATCATCGCACAATTAAGAGATTTGTGGCTGATTCAGAGCACAGACGGGTTTGTGCAGATAAAGGCACATTGAGGAAGATTTCTGCCAGATCCATGCATCGGATCAAGAGAGCAGCTGCTAAAATACCATTACATAGCAGCAAACAGATATTTGAAGCTGCTGGTGCCCTCTGGAGTCCCACGGACATCAAGGTGTAGAGTCCTCCAGAGTCATGCAACTGCGCATAAACCTTCTATTCAGCCACCAATAACCAATGCTCACAAGCAGAAACTGCTGCATTGGGCAGAAAAATACATGAAGACTAAATTTTCAAACAGTCCTGTTCACTGATGAGTGCCGTGCAACCCTGGATGGTCCAGATGGATGGAGTAGTGGATGGTTGGTGGACAGCCACCCTGTTCCAACAAGGCTGAGACGTCAGCAAGGAGGTGGTGGAGTCATGTTTTGGGCTGGAATAATGGGAACAGAGCTGGTCGGCCCCTTTAGGGTCACTGAAGGTGTAAAGATGACCTCTGCAAAGTATGTGGAGTTTATGACTAACCACTTTCCTCCCAGCTACAGAAGGAAGAACTTTGCTTTCCGTACTAAAATCATCTTCATGCATGACCATGCACCATCTCATGCTGCAAAGAATACCTCTACATCAATGGCTGCTATGGGGATAAAAGGAGAGAGTCATGGTGTGGCCTCCTTCCTCCCCTGACCTCAATCCTTTTGAGAACCTTTGGAGCATCCTCAAGCAAAAGATCTATGAGGGTGGGAGGCAGTTTACATCCAAACAGCAGCTCTGGGAGGCTATTCTGACATCTTGCAAACAAATTCAAGCAGAAACTGTCCAAAAACTCACAAGTTCAATGGATGCAAGACTTGTGAAGCTGCTATCAAATAAGGGGTCCTATGTTCAAATGTAACGTGACCTGTTAAAATGTTTAAAAAGTTAAAATGTTGTTAAAAGTTTGATTGAAATAACTTTTGACTTCAGTAAATATGCTGCAAACACAACAAAATGACAATTTTCAGTTCTTTACAACCTATAAAGTGTTTTGAAACTTACTGTGCGTAATAATTTGGAACAGTGCATTGTAAATTTTTTATGTTTAAAAAAATAGTTATCAGGTGGTTTGTTCAATAACATTTGAATTGTACTTTTAAATAGTTGATAACATGAGAATTATGCTGACTGTTATTTACTTCAATTATTTAGGTAAATGAGAAAAATATAATTTGCATATTAATTTGGAACAGGGTGTAAATAGAAGCAAGCACCCAAATTTGACCTGGTATCCACGTCTTGTACAGCAGAGCTCAGGAGTGGCAGGGGCAGGAAAAGAAGCACAAAGAGCCAGTCAGGTGTTCTGCAGTGCAAGGGCATGCTCATAGGAAGGCAGAGGGACAAATGTGAACTCACATGGTCCACGGTCTAGTAACTTCTGGGAGGTGGGGTGACCCTATGAATGGAA